GAGAGAGAGAGAGAGAGAGAGAGAGAGAGAGAGAGAGAGAGAGAGAGAGAGAGAGAGAGAGAGAGAGAGATTGTCTTTCTCCTTCTCCCCTCACCTTCATAGTCACCATCCTTGCCATCCTCCTCCTCCTCCTGAATCTCTCCTTGGGCGTGGGCCAGGAGGTCCACCGGATTTTTTTGACAAAATAACGGCCATCCATCAATATAGAGAGGGCGAGTGTTCTCTCTACTCTCTGCCCCCCTCGCCCCAAAAAATACCGATGAACTTGCATGTCCCAAAAATACAAAACTACTTGGATTAATATATATATCGTCAAACAGAGCTGCCCGGTAAACCGTAAGCAGAGAGGGAGAAGAGAACAACAAAATATATAAATAAATAAATAACGGCTTGGGTTCAGGCAGCGCTGAATATTCCCTCCCTTGAATCCCTTCCTCTTTTCTTATATTCAGGTCACTTTTTTACCTGCCAGCTCACGGCAGCCAGGCAGGCACACAGGTCCACATTCCCGGCCCAGGTAAACCAAGTGCAGCAGTCCCTGGAAGTACAGCATGACCCGTCATCCCCATGTAAAATCAGAGTTCATTAAACATACACAAGAAACAAACTGCGTACAACAAACGTCCCAAGAGGCTTAGGGTTTAGGGTTTAAGAGAAGGCAAAAAGTATAAACCGCAGTTCAGATAAGTTTTTTACATTACCCGGCAGAGCAAGCAAACCCTTAGGTGCCAGCCCTGGACATCAGCTCTAGCATTCAGGTTTATCCAACAGCACTCAGCTGAGAGGAGCTAGGAGCCAGGCGACTCAGAGGATCAGAAGGTAGAGGACATAGGCTAACTTTGGCAGGGGTGAGGGGTGGTACATCCTTCTCTAGGGAAGTAATCAATGCCATCCACTCGGGCCTCTCAGCCAGAATGGGGAGGAGCGTGCGTGTGTTTCCATTGTATTCATATTTGACTTGCCGGGGGAATAGGAACCGGACTGTTGCTCCCCAGAATGGCAGGAGACAGAATCGAGAGGTTCTGTTAAAAAAAGATAATAATTAAAAAAAAAAAAAAAAAAAGAAGAAGAAGAAGAAGAAGAAGAAGAAGTAAATAAAAAGCTCCCCAAGTAATCAACTCACCAACTCCTCTGGCTTAATCTCTGGAAGAGCATCATATAGCTGCAGTACTTTGTCGACACCTCTGAGAATCTCCAAGAATCCTCGCAAGACATTCAGGCCAAAGACAGCCAACGGCCCTCTCCCTGAGCTTGCCCTTTCTGGGAAAATATATATCCATATGCAGACATATATATAGACATGTCCAAATTCCCAAAACAAGTGTACAAAAGATTCAGAGAACACTGTTAGCTAGAAAAACAAAGGAAGGCAGAAAAGTAACCACCAGTACTGCACACCCCCAATGTGGTAGGACATACACAGCTGTGCAGCTCAATAAATAGTGAGTATAAAGGCTAATCGAAACTCCCCAGGTAGGTGACAACCTTCTTTTTTCTTCTTTTTTCAACCTGAAAACTTTGAAAACAAAAAGTGGGTGTGTCCATAAACAGGTCGAGAATGCTGTCCTGGTTCCTGAATTTAAACTATGTTTGATGGACTTGCTATCGTTCTGCTCTTTTTTTTTCTTTTTTTCTTTTTTTCTTTTTTTCTTTTTTTCTTTTTTTCTTTTTTTCTTTTTTTCTTTTTTTCTTTTTTTCATGATAAACGATTCAACTTTGGAATGATGCCACACATCATAGTTCAAGATGAAATGGATTTAGACCAGGAGAGGAGGAGGAGGAGGAGGAGGAGGAGGAGGAGGAGGAGGAGGAAGACGAAGAAGAAGAACAAGTACAAGAACAAACAAGAAGAAGAACAACAACAACAAGAACAGCAGGAACAACAGAAAGGGCAATGAAGACGACGACGACAACAACCACGATGATAACAACGGCCACAACAACGACAATGACGACGACAACAACAACGACAACGATGACGACGACAACAACGACGGCGAAAAGAGTGGCGACGACCACAACGACGATAATGACGACGACGACAACAACGGCGACGACCACAACAACGGTGAGGACAACGACAACCACAGCGACAACCACATTGACAACCACAGTGACAACCACAACGGCAACCACGACGACAGCCACGATGACAATGACAACGGCAACAACAACGACAATCACCACCACAACTATCAACACCACAACAGCAACTATCAACACCACAACCTCCACCACAAAAACAACCACAACCACCACCACAGCAACCACCAGAACAACCACCACCACAACCGCCACAAGAGCCACCACCACAGCAACCACCAGAACAACCACCACCACAACCGCCACAAGAGCCACCACCACAACAACCACCACAACAACCACCTCAACAACCACCTCAACAACCACCTCAACAACCACCTCCACAACCACCTCCACAACCACAACAACCACAACCACAACAATAACCACAACAACAACCACAACCACAACCACCACAACCACAACCACGACAACCACAACAACAACAACAACAACAACAACAACAACAACAACAACAACAACAACCACAACAACAACCACAACCACAACCACCACCACCACCACCACCACAACCACAACCACCACCACCACCACAACCATCACCACGACCGCAACCACGACCACCACCACCACCACCACAACCACAACCACAACCACAACCACAACCACAACTACCACCACCACCACCACCACCACCACCACCACCACCACCACCACCACCACCACAACCACCACCACCACCACCAC